TGGTTTAGGATTATATCTTTTACTTCTCTGATAAATAGGTGCCTCCTGTCCACGTCTGCTTAGCCTGACTTTAGTGCTTAGGTTATGTACAGCAGTGTAATGAAAAGATGTTGTGTGCATGTTAAACTTGTTTGGTAGTACAGGCCTCTGGTCTTGGAGGAATGTATTAATCTGTCGTATCTGCATGTTGTCTTGCACAGCAGGGAAAAGATGTGTTTGACAAAACTGAACCTTGCGGGGAAATTAGTACTCTGCTTGATATAACTGTGCAACAAAGCTGTCACCTCCACTTGTGTCAAAAAAATTTGCTTCCTTTTGCCAACTCACTGGTTGACAGTTTTGTCCATTGTGAAGCCATCTTCCACTCTGGAAAGCAGAGGATGTGTTGCTGAAGAGTGACTGCATTCACACAGTGAAGATTTAATTCGTAGCTATCACCAATGATTTCTGAATCACTTGTTCTTTGCAGCTCTTCTCATCAAAGCCCACTCCATGCCCTTTCAAGTGCAGCCATCAACAATGGCCAGCGTGGTTAAGGGCCTCTACAGCCTACGACCAGGTGACCTATACTTCAGAAAGACAGATAATAAAGAAACATAATGATCTATTTCATGTTGTTCTGATTCACTGATTTCTGGTTTCCTCGTTCAGAGTGGGCCCAGCTCGCTCCTGCTCTCTTCTCTGGGTTTATTCCTCAAATCAACCCTCCTGCTGTGGAGTCTCTGCTGTCGGACTACGCTGCACATGACCAGAAGCTACAGATGGAGCTCTCCATGAACGGATTCCCACGGTCAGTTTTCTTTGGTTTAACATAGAGACTAGTCACAGTCTACGTAAATACGAGGTGTATTCAGGGACCTATAAAAAATGAAAAACCATACATGATTTAAATTCTCATTAAAGTAGGTGTCTTGTGCAACACCTGTAACGCTTAACCGTTATCTGTGAAAGGGGCTGAATATCCTACACAGTGTCACAACAGCGACCCTACAACCTAAATGTCACTGTGCTCTGTTTCCAGAGGTGACCAGTCTCGAAAACGAGCCAGCGAGGACTCCTGATAGCAGCGCCATCTCCACCAGATCTGTTGCACAACTATTACTGTGCCTCCTACGTCTTTATCACAAGTGGTCTCACTGAACTAGGTACAATGCTAACAATGTGTCAGTTTCATTTCTCTCGACTCAAGGTCACAAAACACTGTGAACAACAAAGGAGAACATGATGTTGAGCGGAAACTTACTCTTACTGCACTGATAAAAAGCACACAGACTTCCATTATGGTGCTTCCCCCCCTGTGATTATGATGCGTCTAGCTTCAGTAAGTGTGCGCGCTGGGATGGATTTCCTCATGTTCTGCTCGTTTGAAGAGTGCCTTCGTGGTGTCTGTTCGATGGGATACCCTGACAAAGGGATAGTTTGACAATGGGTATTTCATTCCTAACCTTTAACATGGAAGTGTCTTGTGTTGTTTTTATAGACGGGGCTAATCAAGACTTTCTATTGCTGCTAATAATACTGTCCACGTGTTAATACCACAATCCTTTGGTTTCCCCCACTGTGTGTGTGTAACCCAGTGGCTACAGTCAACACATATCATGAGGAAAGAAGTTGGAACTTAAGTCATTGACCTCAACTATGATTCTCTTCCTCATGTTGCCTTTACTGCATTGGTAAACCAGATTGTATTTTCCAGTTACGCCAAAGAGGATTGCAGTACTTTTTGTGTCTCCTTTATATATAAGGCATTGGATTCAAGCTGACGTGCTATCCAAGTCACTGAGCCATCTAATTTTTTAATACTAACAACTTTTGAGCTTTGGTTTACCTGCGTGTTTATTAGGCTGGAGTCAGATTCTTCCTTTAAATACAGCAGAAGTCAGTGCAGCCCTTTGCAATCTCCCTTAAATGTCAGATGATTCAAAATGTTATTGTCTTGTAGTAAGTGCATTAATTGTTGAACTGTGGGGTATTTGAAAAAAAAAAAAGTGGTTGTTTTTTTTTATATTAAACACACTGACCCACTGTAAGAAACAAAAGTCACTAAGAATCAGATCTTTAATTTTTTCCCTAGTTCTTATGTCCACCGTCATATTTGACGACAGACTCAGTCCTCCTCTGCATGGAAGAGGCCAGTCTAGCACGGATTTCCAGCTCTTTGCTGGAGGGGTTGCATTGTTCTACCGTTCTCTTCAAATACCCCAAAGATGTTCTATGAGATTCAAGTCAGGTGACATTCTTGGCAGGCTTCTTTGGCTTTCTTTCATTTTTAAATTTATTCTTGCAATTTAGTGCCAAAGATCAGGAAAGATTTCCTTTTTTCTTGAAGGCTATCCGTCAAAGTTGATGTTATGAACTGTCCTCCATATTGTCTGAGCTGTGACAGAAACTCTGATTTCTATTAATAACTCCTGTGCCAAGTCTAAAAACACCTGCCTGTCTGTTTTTCAGAGGTAGATTGTCAAAATAACGCGCTGTTCGTGGTGTCATGTTAGGAGATGATACACTTTGGAATCATTTTGATCATTAAAGGGGTTTTGCACAGGGCTGCTCTCACTGCTGTCATATACTGTAACCTATTTGATGTTTCACTGAGTGTCAGGAAGCTTACAGAACTACACAACAGTATTTGATGATTTCCTCATTTTTCTTCAGCTTGCCTGAATTGTCCCTTAACCTGATGCTTCATTGATTTAACAAAACAAATGATATGCAAATATGTTTAGGTCTGGCACACTTGTGCATTAAATGTTCCTAACATGTATAGCCTGTTCATGATGTAAATAGTTTGTTTTTTTCTCTGCGTAGCGCTCCATGTACATTAGCTATCGTCATAGATGCTTTTTTTTTTTCCTTTTTCTTTTTTAAGGATTCACTTGAAATAGAAGTATTTGATACAAGGTCTTACACTGTTTTAAGTGTGATTAGATGCTCAGGCTTGCTTTTTGTTTCAAACATGGTTATCATCTGTCTAATAAACTAATTTTATGACTCATGGGACACAGGGCACAGAGGTGATTCTGTTTTTCGTTATTCAAGATTTAATTGGGTCTTGATCTCATCAATAAGTAGGCATTACAGAAAAACAAACTGATACAGCAGAGGGAAATCTGAATCAGTGCTGATGCCAAACACTGGATGTTCTAAGTTACTTCTATCACGTTTTCTTTAACATTCTATATCCACGTTATGACTACTGTGAATAAAATTCCACTTGCCTCAAAGAACTGTTTCAGAAATCTGTTTCAGAGGTATCTTTTTTACCTGAAACCAATGAAACCCTTGGATCCAAGTGATTGTCACACTAATGACGGATGTTCTCCTGCCTCGGTTTGTGTGCTGAAATTGATTGACGGTGTTCACCTGCAGCGTTGACGGTGTGTGTGAGAGAAGTTCCACAAGGGGCTTCTAATTCTGTTGGACGGAGGTCTCTGATGGACCACTGGAGGAGGAATCCCTTTACAGCACGCCCCCCCTGGCCAATGAGGTGGGACGCCACCCAGACACATGGGCCAGGCCTCCCCAAAATAACCTGCGACCACTGCGCTGACAAATGTTACTACTTTTACTGGTGACAGGTTGCCGTAGCTACTCGGCTGCACATTTTCCTGTAAACTTCAAGGTTAACTCTGCACGAGAAAACCCCGGGAAGGCTGGGCAGCTGCCTGTGTTCGACATCTTCCCCCGGTGGCAGCAACCGGAAGACTGGAATCTCCCTCTTTCAGCACAGGTGCACTCTTGAGGATTTACCAGCCCTCCACGGGGGCCAGCTGGGTTTATTCTAAAGGTAAAACACGCCACCCCCCCTAATTTAATTGTTCACAGTGTCCCATTGACTGTGTTGTGGCATCAGCCTCATATGCTGTGTATAGCCTCAGAAAATCTCTGACATTGAGCCTCAGACAAGCTCGGCTCTATTTCTGCTTGACTGTTATGCTCCTATTTAATTGAATTATGTTAACCTGCCTGGATGTGTGAAGGGGCCGTTCGAGTGTGTGGGCTGCGACCGGGTTATCTCAGTCATCAGTGTCCCATTTATGATAATTATAGTTGTGTTTGTGTAATTTGATTAATGTGTGTTGTGACTGATCAAAATGAGGCCCACAGGATGAGCAGCATTGCTTTTTTTTTGTGTTGATTTTCTTCATGTAAACTGACCCCTGGCTATTATTAGATATGACTTGGTGGGCTTGGAGCCTGTTTGCAAAGGATTAATGTACACAACAGCTGCAGCGTCAGGTCTGTTGGAAGGGCATTGCCGTGTCTCTTAATTGCACTGATTTGAGTGTCAGTAGCATATGTGTACCCTATCTCGTGTCTGTATTCAATAACTTGCTCATGCCTGGTGTCAAAAAGTTGTGCAAAGTTTAAACGTCACTAAAATGTTGGTATGAGGTGGACATTGGGGGGAAAAAAGCCCGCTTGTGTCCCATCAGATCTGGTGTCGGCGCATGAACCTGATACCCTGTTGAGGCTTGAGGAAGGCTGAATTTAGGCTAAAATAAAAAGCTATTTTAACCCCATATCCCCTGCTTTTAACGGCGGGCTGTAGTCATGGGCTGTGTTTGTGCTGAGGAATTGTTTTAACATAACGTTAGGGTTAATATTAATGTGAGTCTTATTGACCAGATCTGCTTTGAATTTATTTAACTGCTTTCAAGCAAGTGAAAAATAACATTCAAAATAAGCATTTAATAGTTTATTCTACCATATTTGACCTATTTATCCATAAGGGTTAACACCACATTTGCATATTTAACATTTCTTGTAATACAATGACTGTGTTAATGTAAGTTATGAACTGGGAAAGTTTCCCAGTGATATGTATTCGTTACAAGTTTTATTCGAAAGTTGTGGTTGCCAATACAAATGTATGGATATTGCATTACATATCTTTAAAGAGCAACGTGCAAGATGAATTTTTTTCCTACACTTATATCTAATATTTCTTGGAAATAAACATTTAAAAACTTGATGCACGATTTGATATGTTTTCTACGACATAAAAGCAAAAATCCAGATCATAAAGTAGGCATTTAGACCACTGCTCTTCTTGTTCGCCTCAGAGTCGTCCACTGATATGTTACAGCAAACTATACGGTGCTGAAATACAACACAGCGTTATGACTTGATCAAATGTCAGTCACTCACCAAGACGCCACCGCTGACCTCGTACCACACATCTCGCTGATTGCAGTTATTTCTCCTGATTCATATCTGTTCCTGGTCTTTGTGACACCCAGCAACCTCATAATTTTAAATCTGTGATCTGTCATGTGCATCTAGATATTCATTTGAACCTCTTCATTGTCAAAAACACTGTTAGGATTAATTTTCTGTTGTTAAAATAGATCTAGTTTGGCTGCTCTCCCTGTTGTGACGACCAAGTTGGGTTTTTTTTTTTTAAACGGCCAGAAAACCGACTCTAAACATTGTTCATTGTTCTTCATTCATATCCTTATTTATATAATGTTATCCCAAAATATGCAGCGAAAATGTGTCTTTGTGGCAGGATACAGAACTTCAGATTAATGGAGTTTAAAACAAAAAATAAAAAAAATGGAAAGGGAGAATCTCTTCCATGAAAACCTTGAATCTGGTTTAATCCAATATTCAGATTTCTGTTCAAGAAATTAATGCAAATTAGCAAATATTTAAATGGCGAACACCTAGTTTACAATAATTGTATTATAGTTTTTGTAAATAAACATCTGTTTTATGATGATACTTATTCTAATAATTTTATCGTATTCTCCTCCAGTGTCTTCCCTTTAAGAACCTTGTATGTTTACATCACACTTTACATTACTCTATGAATACAGCTAGTTTCTCAGTTGATCCATAAATCATTTATTCTTTAAAACATCAGAAAAATGAAACTAATATCTGGTTATTTCAATTTCAGTTTAATAGTTTAGAGTCTGAAGTATGTGCAGATGAATGTACGTTTTGCCAGTTATGGTAATAGACTGCTGTGGGAAACTTTGATGTTCAACAGCTGAGAGTTGACTAACGGCAGCTTTGTCTTGCAAGATCTTAATAAATTCACATTATTCTTTACAATATCGGTGTTTGCCACCTCTTTGTCCTCAAGTATTTAATTTTCTAAATGCTGTATCTCCGATAACAGTGTCTGCTCTATCTAAAGATTCACTGAGACAGATGTTAATCACTGGTACTCCCTTTATTTTGGCATTTCCATCCTCAGATATTTATCTAATTAAATTTTTACAGATGAGGGTCTGAGGGCCTAAATATCATAAATAAAATAAGTACAAGTGATGTACAGTGTGCAGAACTCATCACTTCTTTCACAGCCTCTTGTCAGCATAAGTGGACTTGTTTGCATTTATATACTTTTAAATGAATGTCTTGTGCTTATTTCAGCAACATGCAAGAGAACACCATCGACCAGCCGCCGTCACTGTCTCAGCTCCTGAGGGAGAGCTACCTGGCAGAGGCCAGAGCACAGCAGCGCCACAGCGAGATGAGCCGCTCAGACGCTTCCTCCTCACGCCTTCAGATCTACGGTTCACTAAAAGGCAAGGCTGAGGACACCGTGGGCCACAATGATCCCCAATTCACCGACCTGTCAGCCTTCCTCAGCCAAGAGGAGCTGGACAAGAGCGTGAATCTGGCCCGCCAGGCCATCGGACACGAGCCTCGTGAGGAGAGGGCAGAGGTCAAGGCCTCTGTCACGCCAATAACCCCCTCCAGCATCTCCTCAGCCTCAGTTCCTTCCTCTGCACCCTCTTCTGTTCCCTTATCTAACCCCTCTCCTGCTGCCTTCGCTGCCCCCTCCACTGCGCCCTTCACTCAGCCAGCCCCTGAACTTAAAGAACTGCCAGCAACACACACCACATTCACACCCGACAGAAAGATGCACAAAGCATCCACACGGCAGGACAACATGATCAGGAACAGCAGGGAGTCCAGCGAAAGCTTCCAAGACTATAACAGGTCAGCGAGGAACGCCCCGTACGGTGTGGAGACCCAGTCCAAGAAGGAGTTCCTTAACAAGGCAGCCGACTTTATAGAGGAGCTCTCCTCTCTCTTCAAGGCCAACAGCTCCAAGCGGGTGCGACCGAGAGCCTGTAAAACCCACAGGAGCAGGGTCCAGAACAAGAGCCAGAACGATGGGACGGTTTATCCCCTCAGCTCTGACAACAGGGAGCGGTCCGCCCTGCCTGTGGACGTGGAGAAGGAGAGACCCAGCCCTGCTGTCAGCCACCAGCCGGTCCAGCTGGACCCCGAGACTGGACATGTGGAGTTTCAGGACTGCAGGATTACTGAGGAGCAGCAGTATGACTCAGTGCCACAGGAGGCGGAGGAGGAGGCTGAAAGCTTTGCCCTGACAGACACAACATACCCCGCGGAGCCTGTGTGTGAGCCGCCTCACTTCATCCAGAAACTGAAAAGCAGGGAGGTTGCAGAGGGCAGCAAGGTCCAGTTGGACTGCATCGTAAGAGGACTGCCTGTGCCTGAAGTGCGGTAAGAAAACCAAAACTGTCAGTCTGAGTTCTTTCAGTTGTCTCATTGGTTTATTTCTCAGTTTGCAGGAAGAACTCTCCACATGCTTCCAGGCTGCTTTCAGAGTTGTCTCATTGACCAAAAAAAAAAAAAAAAGTCTGGTGAGCAGCAGCAGCATCCCACTGGAAGCTTAGGATAATTCATCTGGTTTATCTTGAGTATTTAGAGGTGAGAGGAGACGAAAACAAGAGTTTAGGATAATATGTTTACCTGTTGACCTTATGCTATAAAATATATATGTGTGTGTGTATATATATACAATTAAATACAAAAGCAAAACTTAAAAAAATAAAACATATATTAAATTAAGACTTCAGTAGAAACAATGCAATTATATGATATAAAATAATATATCACTCATGGGATAATGTTTCTGAATTATGAGAACATTTAGCTAATATACTCTTACCTGTAGTAAAGTATTTTGATTTTATATATAATACAAAATGCACTTTAAAGTAGAATTTATTAAATGTAAGTCATGTAACAGATTAAATAATTCTCTAACAGAACTGTCTCAACTTCTACAAAATAAATATTGAAACAAATATATTTATCAGACAATTTTAAATCATCATAAATGTACAGTTCTTCCAATACATTGCATGTTATCAACCATGTTTGAGGTAATTTAGGATTTTTTTTTCAGCTGTAAAACGTCCCAGTCTGGATTTATCACTTTGTCTCTATTCTT